TATCTATCTATCTATCTATCTATCTATCTATCTATCTATCTATCTATAGATCCGTCATCTTCATCTATCATCTATAAAAGGAAAAAAATAATTTAAGATAAATACAAAGCAAGAAAAATGTATCAAAATGAAACACTCTGTAGAAAGAGAAACCACGCCGTAAAAGAAGGAAAGGAGAAAGTTAGACAACAGCTGCAGAGGAATGAGGAGGAAATACTTTGGGATGAAACTGGGAGTCAAACTGGGATTCAGGGAGGTGTACAAAGGATAACATGAAGAAGATGCCCAGCTCAGCTTGAGCCAGCAATTAGCTTCTGTGAAAGATGAGCAATAAAAACTGTAGTTTTGTAATCCTTTGAAGTGATTCGCGTTGCAGGTGGACCTGTGCATACCCAGTGCGTAAAATCATAGTTTAGAGTAAAACTAATAAATTGCAATGAATACTGAGTTTTCCACACATCCCCTTGTAGAGACCGACGTTTTCCCTTAATGGGTGTTGCATTGTCAGGATTTTAAATTCTTATTTTTCACTATATAAGCACTGGGCTGCAACAAAGTCGAGGTGAAAAAGTGCTACTTTCCAAACCGTATCAAATTAAAAAAGAAAAAAAAATGCACTGGATTATTATTATTTACCTCATCTTGATCTCTGCCCTGAGGACTCTCCTTAGCAAGAGTTGAAGTAATCTAAGGAAATAAAACAAATGGTGTAACATTTATTTTGGAGAAGAAGCTTCTTAGCTTTAACTTCTTTAAAAAAAAAAAAAAAAAACAGGCAAAAGGATTAAATATTTTCAATTTATCTGAAGCCAGATCTTGAACGATGATACTGAAACAACGAACGCAATACTAAAAATGTGATTCACCCCCCCCCTTCTTCCCATCTCATCCACCTGTCCTTGTGTGTTAGTTGACCCAGTTGAGTGATATATTCAAGGAAGAAACACCCTGTGGATATCTCTATTATTAAAATAATGTATACCTGTCTTTTTCCACATGAGTCCACTAGAAATTACGATGGAAACAAAAAAGAACACAAACTTCTTTTTTGAGCTGTGCGCACTGTTATAGTCCTGGCATTAGCAGCAGTGGGAGATTCTTACGTGCTGCAACTCGGGTGCCAAGTAAGTGCTGAAAAACGTTGGTTGTGTTGGTTAGAAATGAATTCTATTGTTTTGCTCTGTTTTGCAATTTTTAGACACCCTCCCCCCCCCCCAATTATTCCAGAAGTTCTTCCAAGGTAAAAATAAAGATTGGGGAAAGGCTGCTTTAGACTAAGAATTTATCAGCAAAAATAAAGGATGACATTTCAAGCAATTACTAGGAATTTCATAAATTCGTTAATTACTAGTAATTCCTGAGCATTTTATTAATCAGAGAACAGGCTCCTTAAGATTATCGAGAGGTGGAAGGCATTTAATTCTAGCCACAATCTATTTTCTACCCATATCCCCGTGATTTCTTCCAAACCAAACCCAAAAGGCAATTTAATCTGTGATGAATATTTTTAATGTAGTCCTTCAAAATGCAGTGTAGCCACATTTACCTTCTGTCCCAGGCCATCTTTTTTGTACCCCAAGAGTTCCAGATATTTGCCACGAGAGTCTTCTTCAAAATGCACCTTAGGAAAAAAACAAACAAACCCAGGAAAGAAAGCATTTGAGAGAATAGCTAGTTTTTGCATTCTTCCTGCATTTGCAGTGCAAGACCCTTCTGCCAAACAATTCCTGTACATTGTGGTAAATTTTAAATCATAGATTTGAAACTCTGTAGCAAAGCAATTAACTTTTGCCAAAAACGAAAAGTAACGTCCACTTTTTGGCAAAACCATCATAAAACATGATCACATGACCGTGGGATGCTGCACTCAAAGTTCGTTCAATGTGCCCCCTTAGGGGGGGTGATGCGACTACCAGAACTTTGAATTTGGGTCGTTTAAGTAGATCCAAAATAGGTCTGTTATAACTCAGAATGCTTGATAAGCAATTGGTCATAAGTTGAGAACTGCAAGGGCTGTGGCACCCGTGCTGATCCCAAAATATTTTCCACTTTGGATCTGATTACTGCACGCCTCTTGTTTTTAAAGTGGGTGAGAGATTCTGTACGCAATCAACCCTGAAAAAATCACCTTGAGGAATGACCACACGTTCCTCTCGAAGTCGTTTTTGGCTACATCGATTTTCTTCTGACAGTAGCTGGAGAAGGCTTCGGCCTGAACCGCTTCCTGCAGCTGGTTGGACCGGTTCAAGAATTCCTTCTCGGTGACAACTTGACTAACGTAGACGTGGTACAGCTGTTGGGGATGTTCTCCTTGCTGTTGAGTCTTGTTGTTCTCAAAAGTGACCAGCCTCCCTCCAAACTGGAATTCAAGCAATCAGTGGTACTGTTACCCATGCCTGCTCATACAACTAGATAGTTGACATATTCTCAATATGATTTGTGGGAATTGCAACAGTCTGCTTCGCAAGGAGTTGGCAATGTGAAACACACTTGTGAATACTATATACGAAACCAGCACTCTTGGAACAGAAGTTGGCAGCCCCTTTTTGTCTAGGTCTAGGGGGCTACACTCTCCATTTAGGGTATACAATACCAATTAAAAACAAACAAATATTGAATTAAAACAGATCTAAAATAAAAACAATTTCTGAAATTAGGAATATTAATTCAAAGAGGGTAAAATACAACCATAAATTCAAGAGTTGAACAAGTAAGGCAAAATTTAAATCATAGCTGTTTGGCGTAGTTGCTGTTAGGTACTTAATTATGCTACAAGTGATGTACTTTTCTGTCCTTGTGTTCAAATTGTTACACAAAAAGCTGTGCCTCCTGTTTATTATAACCAGAGGTAAAGCATTCTTGGAGGTTTATACCAAATGCAAACAAATGAATGCTAAGCTCCACAGATTGTCCATGGAGATTCTCAGTCATGCCAAGTCATGGTTATCCCAAAGGTGCTTTTCAAAACATCTTCAAGAAGAAAACAAAAATCTAGTTGCCTTTTGAAAAGCAAAACTCCACTGGCGACCCCTTCAGTTATAAGGTAATCCTCGTTTTATGACACTTGGCACCAACATTTCTGTTGCTAAGCAAGGTTATTAACAGTCACACCCGATTTTATCTTCTTTGCCACAGTTGTTAAGCAATTCACCACAGCTGTTAAGTGAAACATTTGATCGTTAAGTGAATCGGGCTTCCTCCATTGAGTCTGATTGTTGGAAGCTGGTTGGAAAGTTGGCTGCAAATGTTTAGTGACCATTGGACACATGAGCCCAATGGCACCTTCAATGCCACTGTAACATCCAATGGTCACTAAACAAATGGCTGCAAGTCAAGGACTTGCTGTACTATATTTGATTTATGACTAGCTGCTTTGTTCTCCTGGTCAGCCATGATCTCTTTTTAATTAAGTGTTGTTTTTCTTCTTTTTCTGTAAGCTGCCCATAGTGTCAAGCAATTAGAACAGGGGTCGCCAACCTTTTGGACCTCAGGGACCATCAAACTCATAATTTTAAATCCCGCGGACCACTAATATGAATTTTGACTGGCGGTGGCTTGCTGACGTTGGTGGGAAAGTCAGTCCCATATTCCAGAGCTGCAGTAGTCACAGGACTGGCCCTTTGGTCATCCCGGAGCAGCTCCTCCACTCCATGGCAGGCCGGTGCACCCGGGTGGAGGAGCAGCTGCTCCGGGATGACCGAAGGGGCAGTCTTGTGATACTGCAGCTCTGGAATACGGGGCTGACTTTCCCACCAACGTCAGCAAGCCACCCCGGGGCGGATTTCCCTTCCCCGCCGTTGTCTTACCTTGCAGTTCCAGCTCACGTGGCTCTATTCAAGGTAAGGTTTGCACTTGGCTGAAGAATGGGGGCCAGTGGGTGGGCGGGCCTGTTCCCGCACAGCCTGGATTAATTGCTTTGGGGGGGGGGGGGGGACATTTCTCTGCGAACCACCAAAATTTTCTCGCGGACCACCAGTGGTCCCCGGCCCACGGGTTGGCGACCACTGAATTGAAATATAACTCTTTATTGGTCAAGTGTGATTAGACACCCCAAGAATGGCGGTGTTGAAATTGGATAAATACATTTAAAATACATTCTTCTGCCCAAGACGTGATGGATGCCTTATTCTACACAAAGGTTTCTGCAAAATAAAGGCACAGTTTTCTGTGAAGCATCCTGCATAAAACTGATCAGTAGGTACACCATGCCTCTTTCTTTGATCTAAACAGCAGAGACTTACGGAAAAAGAGGCTCCCACCGGTCGACGAATCCACTTGGGTGGCTTCTTCAGAGGAAGAACTGTGCTCTGTGGGGTGGTCTGTTGAGGGAGGTGCAATGGAGGAAGGGGATGCCCTGTTCCGAAGGGATCCAGATTGCCAAAAGATGAGGAGAGCTTTTGAAAACAGAAGAGAAAGAGGAAATTATTCCTTGGTCTTTAGCTCAACCCAATTCCAGGGCAAACCTTCGTGTGTCAGAATCTGTTGACCATTTATCAAAAGGGTTTTCGGTGCTTGTTTTTAAAATCAAATCAAAGGATTATAGGTGAGGATTAGAGCAATGTTTCTCAACTTTTAAGATGCCTGGACTTCAACTCCCAGAATTCCCAATCCAGCATGGATGACTAAGGAATTCTGGGAGTTGAAGTCCATATATCTTAAACATATATCTTAAACAGTGGATTGGAGGATGAAAAATGAACACAGCCAAAGAGCCACTAGTACTGGCCAGCATCGGATCTGTTCCTCCTTGGCTGGTGGACATTTTAAAGCCTCACTGAGACACTAAGAACACAGAGTTCTGAGACAGCCCAAATTTTCAATCGTTTATTTTTATGCGTTTCATTGTAAACTGCAAAAACCTTCCTTTTCCCCATTTTTCAAAAAAAAAATGAGATACCTTGTCTGCTTGTTTTTGTCGCAGGCTATCCGTGCTTCCTCCCATGATCGAGTAAACACTGATTTTCCCATCGAAAGAAGCAGCAGAGAGAAGGGCAGGGTTCCTGGGACACCACTGCACATCGAAGCACCACTGGGTAGAGGTAGGAAGCTCATACAACACCTGTGACCAGCAGAAAGGAAGAAGGACAACTATTATGGCTTCCAAAGCGAACAACTGCAAAATTGGCCGGTGGCATGCATCAATGCACCAAGAAAGATGGAGAATTAAGGATATATTATCTTATAACCTCCAAGACTCCATCACATCCTTGCATACCCACTCTGGCCCTGCAGTACACCCCCCTCAACCCTCCCTCTCAGCTCCTTTCCTGCTTGGTCTATCTTACAAGCTGCCAGGGACTTGCAATTTCTTTCTGGCTTCCCCACTGACTTGGTTGTTGGAACCTCTCTGGAAGTTGCCTTACCTAACCACCATGAGATTCCATTAACAATGGGAATCAGGATCGCAGAGTCTGCTACTGATAAATGATGCAGTTGTATTTTACAACCGCATCGCTTAGCAAGGAAAATTCTGGACCCAATTGATGTTGTAAGCTGAGGATCCCCTGTATTTACTATTACTAGATTTTAAAAGGAATTCTGTATTTTATTATGTATGCTTGTTTCATTAATGTATAGTGTTGATAAATAGTAACATGCAAGCTTTTCCAAGCCAACACGTACCCCAAATCACACCACAAAATATAAAGGTTATATTCAAGCTACACAAATGGTTTAAAAACAAAAACAGAAAAACTTAACTTGATGTTATTTGATGTTTATTTTTTCATTAGGGTTCAAAAATTTAGAAAGTTGGTAGCAATAAGTTTACTTTGATGCAAGTAAATGGTGAAAAGCTGATGAGCTCTTTATATACTGACATATTTTTAAATTTCTAAAGTATAAATGTTACTTAAAAGCAAATACCTCTCCTGTGTTTGGATTGGAACAAAGGATTTTAGAATCTTTGCCACAGCTCAGCAGTAGTTCAGGATCTGCCATGCTCCAAGCAATTGTCAAAATACCTCTGTGTAAAAAAATATCAAATGCTTATCAAACTAACAAAACATTGCAAATATGTAACTGATATCAATGGGACATTAAAATTTGAAAAAGGGGAAACACTTACAATAAAAGGGCCTTTATCATAAACAATCAACCAAAATGCTTAAGAGTCCATTTTTTGCCCTTTTCTCAAATAAAATAAAATCTTATTCTAAATGCTGATAAAAAATATGTATCTCCAATCATCTTCCAATCCTATATGTTTATTTTCCAATTATGTTTATTTAATTGTTTGTTTGCCAACCCCCTTCCATGAAAATCTATCAATATATTTGGGCCTAACATCTCTCACCAGTCTTTCTAGCCCAGTGGTCGCCAACCAGTGGGCCAGGGACCACTGGTGTCCATGAGAAAATTTTGGTGGTCCGCAATGTCCCCCCCAAAGCAATTAATCCAGGCTGCGCAGGAACATAAGGCTGCGCCACGCATATGGCCCGTCCACCCACTGGCCCCCACCTTTCAGCTGAGCGCAAACCTTGAGTAGAGCCACGCGAGTTGGAACTGGAAGGTAAGACCAATAGCGGGGGAGGGAAATCTGCCCTGGGGTGGCTTGCTGACGTTGGTGGGAAAATCGGTCCCATATTCCAGAGCTGCAGTAGTCACAAGACTGGCCCTTTGGTCATCCCAGAGTAGCTGCTCCTCCACCTGGGTGCAGTGGCCTGCCATGGAGTGGAGAAGCTGCTGCTGTCCGCAGGGTTTAAAATTATGAGTTTGGTGGTCCCTGAGGTCCAAAAGGTTGGTGACCCCTGTTCTAGCCCACATTCAATCAAATCTGTATTTTATGCACCTTGCATGGTTTTCAAGAACGCGAAGAGGAGAAGATGCAAATCTCAGGTCCCATATCTGGATTACGGGTAGCCGGTCGTCTTCTGATGCCAGAACCATTTGCGTAGCCACCTCAGGATGCCACTCCAGCCCTGAGCAATGCATCTGGAATGGTATGAATAGTGTTCGTTTTTTAAAAAAAACAACCCTGTAATCCTTTGCGTCGGGGTGACCAAATGGAGCTAAGCATTTACTGGCCAGATGCCCTTCCTGACACCTATGTAGAGTTCACAGCAGTATTTTCTCTTTGTGCCCAGAGAGAGAAATATCTGCCACTAACTAGGATCGAACTTGCAAGCCTCCTTATTGTGAGGCGAGAGCTCCACTTCTAGGCCACCACACTGCTCATCATATAAATGTCAAAGAAAACTACTTCTCTTTTACAAGCTCCTTTAGTACATGGCTTCTCTTCCTTAGAAATACCGCAACATCCTAGTAATTTTCAACCATACTTTTCCTTCTTTAGAAAAACATGTTCATACTGACTGAAACAACTGCTAGGGCAGCAATTAACATGCAGAATGTGAAAATCTCAGAGAGATCAGAAGGGTAATCCCCCTGCATATTTATGAAAGCAGCTGGCTCATACACTTAACAAGCCAAAAATGAATCTGTAAAATGGAGAAGCTAGGCACACCTCCTAGCCACGTACCATAAATGAATATGCTACACTCTACCTACATGTGGCTTCATGTATAGCATCATCTTAAGTACTTAAAAAAAAAAGGGAGGGGGGGAAGAGACCGAGAAAGAGAATGTAAGGATTATACAATCTGCACTGTATGGAACCGCTACTTCCATAATAGTTATTTTACATTGGTAATGAAGGACATTTGCATGTCAACTCTGAAGCGAACCTGGTTGAAGCCATCTTGTGCTGCCTCATAGTTGCCACGAAGCCTGAGAGAGGGAAGGGAGGGGGGGAGTAGATCGCTCGGCTACTCAAAACAAAAAGTTTTCCTATGGGAACCAAGGTCACTGAAACAGGGAGAGGAGCCTGCCTTCCACCTTCACTGGACAATGTGATCGGTAACACCTGGGAGGGGGGAGTTTTACTCTTTTAAGTAGGTGAAAAGCCTGGGAACTGTCACCGGCTGTGCTGATATGATGTATCCAATAAACATGTTCCTTGAGGAATCTACCTGCCTCAGCGTTCTGATTTCAATGGGTGCATTACCCGGAACCATGACATTGTACTTATTCCCTACAAAAAAATTAAAGATAACCTGGCGAAGCAACTTTAAATTCAACACATCTTTTAAAAATCCTTACATGTAGTGCTATAGCTTTGATATACAGAAATGGGAGAAAAGAAAAACAAGGGATAAAAAAAGAAAAACCAGGAAGAGGAAAAAAACACAAAATATTATATTACGCAATTATTCAGCCAAATTTTCAGGCGTAGCTTTCAAATCTGAGCACATGAAAAATACTGATCTGTCTTTCCATTATATTAATACAGGTAGTCCTCGGTTTACAACAATTTATTTAGTGACTGTTCAAATTTACAATGGTGCTTGAAAAAAGGGGACTTATGGGACCATTTTACACACTTGCAACATTGCAGCATCCCTGTAGTCACGTGATCAAAATCCAGATGCATGACAACTGGTTTGTAATTAGGACTATCGCTGTGTCCAGAGGTCACGGGATCCCCATATTCACTTAATAACTGTGTTACTAAATTAACAGCTGCAGTGGTTCACTTAACAACTGTGGCAAGGAAGCAAAGCTCACTTAACAAATCTTTCATTTGGAAGATAAATTTTGGGCTCAACTGTGGTCGTAAGTCGAGGGCTACCTGTACTGAGTCAGCCCATAAACAAAACACTGAGCACACCTACCGATCATGGAGTTGTAATCCGGGGTTCTACCATTTTTCTAGTACAGAACAGAAATCTTTCCTACAGTTCCCCATGTTGGCTAAATTTATAATTCTTCCTTACAGTAACAAGCTCCAACTTTTTGGTATTTAATTCAGAAGTACATCCACATCTTTAAACCATGCCGCTTTTTCTAAGACTCTTGTGACAAACTTAGGGATATTAGAACAAAATGTCATAGTAAAAAAGGAGAAACCCACACCACATACCAGCCTTTTCTCCAATGTTTTACATTTATGAAAGGGATTAGCCATCTCCTTTTAAAGCCAATAAAGGCAAACAAGAATCTTTTATTGAGTTAACCTCCTTTTAAGAGTGTAGAATCCTATTTAATATTAAGTCCTTCAGACACTGTAATAAAGGGAGACCAACTCCTGCCATGATGTCACAGGGTCATAAGCTACAGGTAGTCCTTAACTTATAGCTCTTGGTTTAGTGATTGTCCGATGTTCCTGTAACTTTCTAATCATTCCCCAAATTATTTTTCCCCCTGATCTGTTGCATTTAAGGCATAAATTCAACACTGCAGCTGAATAGCTACCCGATTGCTGTGGTCGCTGACTTTGATGATAGGTTCGTTTTTCCTGAGATCCCACACGGTAGCACGACCACTGGGGCTCGCAGAGGCCA